ATGAATAAAGCTCAAAATCCTTTCCATACACACAAATGCATTGGGAACACTACACATTCTATTCCAAATCAAAACATGAAGAAAAATATATCAAATTTGTTCCTCTAAAAAAATTGAAGAAAAGTGAATATTAGACTGTTCAAAACAATAGCAGTGTTTGTATTCATCTTTACAAACTCAAACATTCACTATATAAACTGAAAAATGTTTGAAGATTTTGCTTTCCTTTGAATCACGTAATTAATATTTAGTTGTATAAGCACTGTTTCTGAGAACTGCTGTACATCTGTGTTGCATGGAGTCAACCAACTTCTGAAACCTGTGAACAGGTATTCCAGCCCAGGATGATTGGACTACATTCCACAGTTCTTCTCTATTTCTTGGTTTTGCCTCAGAAACTGCATTTTTGATGTCACCCCACAAGTCCTCTATTGGATTAAGATCCGGGGATTGGGCTGGCCACTCCATAACGTCAATCTTGTTGGTCTGGAACCAAGATGTTGCACGTTTACTGGTGTGTTTGGGGTCATTTTCTTGTTGGAACACCCATTTCAAGGGCATTTCCTCTTCAGCATAAGGCAGCATGACCTCTTCAAGTATTCTGATGTATTCAAACTGATCCATGATCCCTGGTATGCGATAAATAGGCCCAACACCATAGTATGAGAAACATCCCTATATCATGATGCTTGTGCAACCATACTTCACTGTCTTCATAGTGTACTGTGGCTTGAATTCAGTGTTTGGGGGTCGTTTGACAAATTGTCTCCGGCCACTAGACCTAAAAAGAACAATCTTACTTTCATCAGTCCACAAAATGTTGCGCCATTTCTCTTTAGGCCAGTCAATGTGCTCTTTGGAAAATTGTAACCTCTGCAGCACGTCTTTTTTTTCAACGGTGGGACTTTGCGGGGGCTTCTTGCAGATAGCTTGGCTTCACATAGGCGTCTTCTAATTGTAACAGTACTCACAGGTAAATTTAGACCTTCTTTGATCTTCCTGGAGCTGATTGTTGGCTGAGTCCTTGCCATTTTGGCTATTCTTCTATCCACTTGAATGGTAGTTTTTTGATTTCTTCCACGTCTTTCAGATTTTGGTTGCCATTTTAAAGCATTTGCGATCATTTTAGCTGAGCAGCCTATCATTTTCTGCACTTCTTTATATGTTTTCCCCTCTCCAATCAACTTTTTAATCAAGGTATGCTGTTCTTCTGAACAATGTCTGGAACGACCCATTTTCCTCAGAATTTCAGAGAGAAATGCACTGTAACCAGCATGTACAACATTTGCTGCCTTCCTTCCTTAAATAAGGGCAATAATTGCCACCTGTTTTTCAAAGAATGAATGACCTCACTAATAGAACTCCACACTGCTATTATTTTGAACATGCCCCTTTCAATTAGTGATTCAATTACACAGAATCAGCAACATGCATGTCACGACTGTTGGGTCTGTTGGATTTCTATTACTCTACTACACCTGCTAGTAAATTATTTGCCATATAGAAGTATCATTTCTACCAAAAACAGTGATTGATCAGGTTAGTGATGTCTGACTGCTATTATTTTGAACACAACTGTATACACACACACTGTTGTGTTTAAAATAATAGCGGTTCAACATCACTAACCTGATCAATCACTGTTTTTGGTATAAATTATATTTCTACATGGCAAATAATTTACTAGTAGGTGTAGTAGAGTAATAGAAAACCAACAGATCCAACAGTCATGACATGCATGCTGCTGATTCTGTGTAATTGAATCATTAATTGAAAGGGGCATGTTTAAAATAATAGCAGTGTGTTAAATTAGTCATTCGGTCTGTGAAAAAACAGGTGTCAAACAGGTGGGCCTTATGTAAGGATGAAGGCAGCAAATGTTGTACACGCTGGATATAGTGCATGTATCTCTGGAAATCTGAGTAAAATAGGTAACTGCAGACATTGTTCAGAAGTACAGGGTACTTTGATTAAAAAGTTAATTGGAGAGGGGAATACATATAAAGAAGTGCAGAAACTGATTGGTTGCTCAGCTAAAATGCTCGCAAATGCTTTAAAATGCAAACCAAAACCAGAAAGACGTGGAAGAAAAACAGAAAACTACCATTAGAATGGATCAAAAAATAGCCAAAATGGCAAAGACTCAGCCAATGATCAGCTCCAGGGTGATCAAAGGTCTAAACTTAGCTGTGAGTACTGTAACAATTAGAAGACGACTATGTGAAGCCAAGCTATCGGCAAGAAGCCCCCGTAAAGTCCCATTGTTGAAAAAATTACATCCTGAGGACGTTACAATTTGCCAAACAACATAGTAACTGTCCTAAAGAGAAATGGCACAACATTTTGTGGACTGGTGAAAGTAAGATTGTTCTTTTTGGGTCTAGGGGCCGCCAAACACTGAATTCAAGCCACAGTACACTGTGAAGACAGTGAAGCATGGTGGTGCCAAGCATCATGATATGAGGATGTTTCTTATAATATGGTGTTGGGCCTATTTATCGCATACCAGGGATCATGGATCAGTTTGAAATACATCAAAATACTTGAAGAGGTTATGTTGCCTTATGCCAAAGAGGAAATGCCTTTGAAATGGGTGTTCCAACAAGACTACAACCTCAACCACACCAGTAAGCAAGCAGCATCTTCCAGACCAACAAGATTACTTTTATGGAGTGGTCAGCCCAATCCCCAGACCTTAATCCAATAGAAAATTTGTGGGGTGACATCAAAAATTCTGTTTCTGAGTTAAAACCAAGAAATGCAGAGGAATTGTGAAATGTAGTGCAATCGTCCTGGGCTAGAATACCTGTTCACAGGTGCCAGAAGTTGGTCAACTCCATGCAACACAGATGTGAAGCAGTTCTCAGAAACAAGTTATACAACTAAATACTAGTTCAGTGATTCGCAGGAAAGCTAAATCATCCACCATTTTTCAGTTTAAACAGTATGTTTGAGTTTGTAAAGAAAAATGCAGATACTGCTATTTTTTTTTTAAAGCTCAATATTCCTTTTTCTTCACTTTTGGGAACGTGATAACAAATTTGAAACACTTTTTTCATGTTTTGATTTGGAATAGACTCCAAATTGCTCCCAATGCATTTGCGTGTATGGAAATAACAGCTAATATATAAAAAAGTGAGTGGAGCTCAAAATATATTAAACACACACTGCTATTATTTAAACAAAACTGAATAAATGCTATTATTATATATATATAAATATATAATATATATAATATAATATATATATATATATATATATATACACACACAGATACACACACACATACAGATCTAACTGCAGAGAATGAGCCACTGATTTTTAACAGCAGTAGGGCAAGTGATCTGGCTGCAGCAGCATTATCCAGCATTTCTTCTCTATGGCTGCAGCCTCAAACGTGCATATTGATATCTGATCTCAGTCTCCCGTTTCCCTGCTTTGGAATCTCCCCTTCTGTCTTGATGATCTGTACGTGAGGTGTTCTCTACTGTGGATTTCATGACTCTTCACTGTCCTGATGACAGATAATTAAAATCACTGTTATGTGTACTAAGAGGGAGGTAGATGGTCTCTATAGTTGCTGGAAATGGGAGTACCTACTATTTGTTGATAGTGGGAGTATCTACTGTTTGTTGCTGCTAATGGGAGTATTATTGCTGCTTCTAATGGGAGTATTTATTGTTGCTGCTAATGGGAATATCTACTGTTGTTGTTTATGGGAGAATCTATTATTTATTGCATATGGGAGTACCTACGGTTTGTTACTAATGGGAGCATGTACTGTTGCTACCAATGGGAGTATCTACTACAGCTAATGGGAGTATCTAATGTTGCTTCTAATTGGAGTATCTACTGTTATTGATAATGGGAGTATCTATTGTTGCTTCTAATTGGAGTATCTATTGTTGCTAATGGGAGTATCTACCTATGCTTCTAATGTGGGTATCTACATTGTCTGCTAATGGGAGTATCTATTGTTGCAGCTAATGGGAGTATCTACTGTTGTTGCCAATGGACATGGACGGCTGCCTGTGTTCTAGCAACCGATGTTAGCGATGTAAGCCAGCATGTCCTGATGCTTATAGATAAAAACTTCCAGCAGCAAAATAGCCAATACCATTTTCTAGGATGCTTTTATAAAACCAAATGGACAGGAACCCCAGGGCACAGCATATTTCACAGAGCCTGCCTTCTGAACCATAGATATTCTGAGAGGAGGGGTTTCAGGAGGTGGAGTGAGTACAGGAATCACAGTTTGCTGGCAGCAAGGTACCATTGGTTATGTCATCCTTAGAAACTGAAAGTAAACAGCTGAAGAGAAGCTGCAAAGAATGCAGGGAATCCAGGATGTTGTGGAAAGAGATGCCCAGCAGACAGGCAGCACTCAGAACATAAATAAATGTTTATGCAGTGATATGTAGTGCATAGAATGTAAAATAACCTCCAAGAAACCATTTAACTGCACCTATAGTCAACGTTTAAAATCATTATACTCTTATTCACAATGAATTTCAATTCTTTATACTCTTATTTTATTAATCTGGACGATCCTGAAGTTTGTAAATTACTTTGTGAAGATCCCAACACATTTACTTTCTTTTTATTGTGACACATATTCACTATGCGCTGTGGGTAGGCACTGCTGTGTCACTCATTTCACAGAACCTGCCTTCTGAACAACAAGTTTCAGGATGAAGAGTCAGTACAGGAATCACCGTTTGCAGGTTCTTAGAAATTAAATGTAAACAGCAGACAAGAAGCTTGGTCAGATCAGATTAAATTTCTCTACTACTAATGCAAGCACATGTGACATGATAGAAGCATCCAATGCAGGTCAAGTAAACTAATCGCCGTTAAAAAATAGTTTTTTTTTCTTTCAATATAAAAAATAAATAAATAAAAATTGACATTCATAATAAATAACAAGAATATAGGTTGTGTGTGTTTGTATGGTTTTCACACCTCCTGCCATGTACAATGACCAGCTGATAAAAAAATATTACCTTGAGAGTCAGTCTTTTTATGATCAGTGCTGGCTCTGAGCTGGTAGACATTGGTTTTCCAACAAAGTGATACAACATCAGAGAGTTTGGTGAATGCTTCTGCTGAAGCTGAATCCTGTACATAGAAAATACAGCCAGTCACTGGGAGCTTAAACTGCTGACCTGATCATTGTTCATACTGATTCTATAGAAAAAAAAACAACATACCATTATAGCACAACAAAGCAAAAATCACACACAGTGGCATTTTGTAAAACTGCTTGCATCAGAAGAATATGTTAGATGCATTTAAAAAAAAAAATAACAAGAATGCTAAACTACAACAAGTTTACATCTGGGTCAGTAATTTATAACCTTTGCATTATAAAAAGAAGTCAATAGTTATTTTTCTGTATAGCAAAAAAAAAAAAAAAAAAAATAAAAAAACATGTTCTTATTTGGTATACTACTGTGACCTTAGTTTGAAGATGACTGGATATGTATTCCATATTAAGTCTCAGATCTCAAATTAGCAATAATGAAATCAAAGAAAAAAATATAAAGGACTAAGGATTTTAGCTTCTTAAGAGGTTAAAAAAGTGGATCATTATAACTTTCATGGATGTGCATTATAACAATACAACATACAAAAGCTATAGGCTATAAAAAAACCTTTACAGACATTATAATACAAAAGTCTATGACTGGGGTTTACAGCTTTACTCCAGCCTGATTCTTTTTTGTTTTGGATAGATCATAGAAGAGTTAACATTTCTGGCATGTTTTTATTTCTGTCTGTGAACCCATTTGAGAAACTTTCCCTTACTTCCTGTCACTGTGACACTTGCATAACAAATATGGGGTCAGTTATCACTGGGATAAAAGGCATGGACAGTGATAAAAACCCTGTCAAAGTTCTAATGCTGTATATTTTATTTCGGAGGGTACTATACTGTATGTTGGTATCAGGGGCGGACTGACAACTCATGGGGCCCCCGGGCAATAGGGGATCATGGGGCCCCTGTGTCCTTGCCCAAACTAAAAAAAAAGCCAATGAAAAAGGTACCAGGGGCATCTCATGGGGCCCCCTACTGACCCCGGGCCCTCGGACAGTGCCCAAGTTTCCAAATGGTCAGTCCACCCCTGGTTGGTATATGCTGTTAATTAATTTTAGGTAATATTTATTACTTTTGGGGAATGGAGTTATTTATTTATTGTACTTATGTAGCACCGTTCATTTATCCAATGCTTTACATATTTATTATATTATATATATTTATATTCACATCAGTCCCTACCCTTAAGGAGCCTACAAATTAAAGTCCCTAATGCACATTCATACCTTCACATACAAGGACCAATTTAGACAAGATCCAATTAACCTACCAGCATGTCTTTGGAGTGTGGGAAGAAACCAGAGTATTCGGAGGAAACCCACACAGGCACAGGGAGAACATGCAAACTCCAGTCAGGTGGTGCCATGGTTGGGATTCGAACCAACAACCACAGAGCTGCTAGACTGAAGTTCTAACCACTTAGCTACTGTGCTGGTACAAGAGGTGTTTTGTGTTTTATTTACTACTTGTATGCAGTTTTACTGTGTTTTCATCTCTACTGTTCTTTTCCTTATGTTTAGCATTGGGAAGAGCGGTAACAACTTAATTTCCTTCTATACGTTTGTATTGTAGTATAATAATACATTTCTTGAATCTAACCTTTACAAACTCTACTAAAAATGTGTCTGTTCTTGTCCCTACTGGAGGAATTTCCCATAATTTCCTCTCTGAACAGAACACAGGGAAAATGTCAACAGGACTACAGACAGCAACAAAAAAGCTGACCCCCTCCTATTCCATCCATCAATGTTTTGGTTGGACCTGAGCAAAGGCCACTGCTAATATTTCAAAAATGTACTACACGATCATATGTAACTTACAAAACACTATCAGGCACATAGGCAATAAAGGACATACCATTTTGATAGGAGAAGAGATTTCCCTGAGCCTGGTCCTCCTGTTATAAGGAGAGGTGGAATAGGAGCTGGAGCAGCCACCAAATCATTCAAACGATCATAATACTGACATAAAAAATATACAGTTACACATTGTGAGTAAAAGAAGAAACATCCATTCTAAAATCAAAAATCACCGGGACAGAATTGTACTTAATAAGAAATGAATTAAAAACATGGACTAGAGTAAAAAATTTAAAAACACAACGTTTAATAATCATTTCTCCCTAGGTAGAGATGTATTAAAGTAGAGCTGAATGCAAAACTTCTTTTATTTTTGATAGAGTGCGGCCATTTGGTTCCCATTGAAGAGATTTCCCTTCAGTTCCTGTCCCATGGCCACAACAGGAAGTGGGAGAAAATCCATCCAAAGAGAAAAATCCATGGTCACCAGAGCAAGTGTACCATTGGATGATTCCCCTTCTATTCCTGTTCTTTTGGGATTTTCTTTCACTTTCCCTTTCAGTGATCATGGTCACAGGGCAAATAGAGAGCATGAATCTCCCTAAAGGGGATACAGACAGCAAAAAAAAAAAATCTGACAAGTGTTCTTATCCCTATCCATTCTGTGTAAACGTTTGGGTTGTGTGTCCATAGACACACACAGCGTGGCACGCCCATACCCTCCACTCCTACCTAACTAGATTTGACTGACAGCAACAGGAACCAATGGCTCCCGCTGCTCTCAGTCTGTCCTGTGACAGCAGATAGAGAGACCACTCTGATGCAGACTGTGATATCGCTGAATCAAGAAAGGTAAATATTTAGCGAGTTTGTTTTTTTTTTGGGGGGGGGGGGAGTTAGGGAAAGAACAGCAAGCGAAAGTTTTTTTTACTGTAATGCAGGTAATGCGTTAAGATTAAGAAAAAACCTTTTGACTTTAGAACCACTTTAAGTTTTAAGAAGGGGGGAAGCACAGTGGCTAAGTGGTCAGTGGTTTTCCTTCAGGCAGCACCAGGGTTGTCGGTTTGAATCCTAACCACGGCACTACCTACCTGGAGTTTGCATGTTCTCCCTGTGCACAAAGCATATCCCTCTATACTGTGTACTTGTCTCAATCCAGAGCACTAAGTGTCATTTCTGTCTGCTGCCTTGTTCCTCTGCTATCTGCGTGAGTCACTTCTGACAAATTTTCCTGACACCAAGAGAAAAAAGGTGATGGGAGGGATCTACAGCGCACAGCCTGTGATTGACAAGCTCAGCCCTGTTCCTGTGTGTGCTGTGTGAAGGAAGTGGGGGAGGGGAGGGTGCCACCTCCATTCAATGTGTTCAATCTCCTCACTGAACTCTCCAGTGTGTAATTTCAGCTCTCCGTCCCCTGTTTTTTGACAGCTTATTCAAGTTTTATAAATTCTAGACTTTGAATAGATGTAGATAAGAGAAGACTGCAGATAACAGGTACAACTTATGTAGGAGGATTTGTTTCATTTCTGTGTATCACCTGTGGCCAGTCCTTTCATTGGGTATACGGAAGGGTTTACAACCACCTTAACACAGAATAAAGGCAAGGATTTGGGGACAGACAAATGTTTCTGTGTCATCCACACAATAAAGACAACCTGTCAAAAGAGATTGCCCTTCCTGGCTTTTCTTTCTGGAAATGTGTGCTGCAGACTGTCATGCTAACCCTCTTGCTTCAGTACTCTGAGTCACTGACCCAGACTAAGTATGCCAATAAACAAATCTGACTTTCTGTAACTTTTATACTATGCATTTCTGTTTCAAGTCAGTGGAAGTATTAAGGCATAAGAGTACATATTCCGAAGAATGACGGGTGGTAAGATATCTTTTATCAAGTTGTTTATGACCACAAGGGCTTGTTCAGAGCAGCAGCGTTGGGCTGCAATGGACTACTTTGCACCCCAATGCAGTAAGGTAAAAACCTGCTGCCTTTACAACCACTGTAATGTAACCTCTGCACTCTTTTCAAACATGGGAGTGCAGAGAGCCAAGAGAATCCTTATGAGAGTGGCAGAGAAAGGGTTAAAAAGGCATGAACAAGCCCTTAGACTGGCCATACACACTAACTGAAATTCAAAATCGTTCACACAAGCTAGCTTGGGCATAATGCACATATGGTGGCATGCATTCTTCGATCAGTGTGTGACCTCTCAAGCTTGACAAAAGTCAATTTAATTGACTTCTGTTGAAGGGACACGTGAGAAAATTTTCCACTGATTAGCATCTGCAACCAATCAGTAGAAGCCACTGATCAGCATATTCTGACAGTGGGCGGGTACCCCTGTAACAATACAATGTCCTGGTGGGGGAGAATTCTTCCATCCACCTTGTTTCTGTGGATGAAGCAATCTGCTAATACTTTGTCCTTCAGCTCCCTGGCTGAACAACAAAAACATTGTGTACTGCACAACAAAGAAGCTCACTGTAATTAAATGGAGAATCAACTATACAGAATTTTACCACCAAGTGCTCCTGCAAGTGGGATGTGAGATTACACCTCCCAATAAAAAGCTGTTGTATCAGAAGCAGAGATGTAAAATTTCTGGAAATTTTGAAGCCATGAGGAAAAAGGCAAAAAAAATTTTTCCGTTTGTTCCAGAAAAAAAAATGGAAATTTAAAAAAAATTTTTTTAAAAAATTCAGTGTTGAGTAGTTTTACAAATTAAAAGTAGTTTAGGTAAACATTATGCTGTGATGATGGAGAACATTAAATAGGAAACGTTTGAAGTGGTTTCTAAAGCCTAAACAATATCTACCTTAATGCATTCCTTGCATTAAGGCAGTGTTTCTCAACTCCAGTCCTCATGGACCCCCAACAGGTCATGTTTTCAGGATTTCCATTATTTTGCACAGGTGATTTGATCAGTTTCACTGCCTTAGTAATTACCACAGCTGTTTCATCTGAGGGAAATCCTGAAAACATGACCTGTTGGGGGTCCATGAGGACTGGAGTTGAGAAACACTGCATTAAGGTAAGAAAAAATGTTAAGGTTAAAGTATCGCCCCTCACCCCCCCCCCCAAATAGTTACATGAGCACTTCCTCAATCCAGCGCAGTGCCCATCTGTAGCGGCTCGCTCCTCTTCTGCCCACTCTCAAAGGCTTTGTTGAGAGCAGCAGAAGCCATTGGTTCCCGCTGCTGTCAGTCAAATCTCAATGAACACAGACAGGGGGGCTCAGGACCGACCACACGGGTGTGCCATGATAGGAATTGGCTTCCTAAAGTGGCACACTGAGAAGAGGAGAAGGAAGTCAGAAGGGTCAGCAGAGGACCTGAGAAGAGGAGGTTCAGGGCTGCTCTTTACAATTTAATTGCACAGGGAAGGTAAGTACAAAACCTCTTTGTAAAGGCTTACATTCTATTTTTTTTTAAATAACAAACACTTTATTAGGTTATAAAGACAAACTAATTTGACAGACAAATTTACCGTCTTACCCGTCAGTATCCGTTCTCTCAGGCCTTAAAGTGACACTAAAGCTTCATTTTTTTTTCTTCTAAAATAACAAACATGTCTATATTTACCTGCTCTATGCAATGATTTTGCACAGAACAGCCCCGATCCTCTTCTTATCGGGTCCCCTCCGGCACATCTGGCTCCTCATTCTCAAGCATTGCCCCCAGGGAAAGCCGCTGGCCCTGGGGGCATCTCTGCATGCTCATCCCCGAGCTGCTGCTCTATGCGTCTATAAGACACAGAGCCAAGGCTCGTCCCGCCTTCCTCTCTCTCCTCATTGGCTCACTAGCTGTGATTGACACTGTCTCAGCCAATGAGGAGAAAGAGTTCCCAGACAGCAGAGGCTTTCGTGAACATCGCTGGATGGGAGGGGGCTCAGGTAAGGATTGGGGGTGGCTGGGGGGGGACTGCTGCACACAGAAGGTTTTTTACCTTCATGCATAAAATGCATGCAAGGTAAAAAAAACTTGAGCCTTTAGAAACACTGTTTATCATCTACTGTATCTGAACAAAATACTCAACTGTAGAAGGTACAAGATGGAGCTCACAAGCAAACTAAACTAGAGCCTTTCCCCTGCAATGCTCCTAGTGGCAGAAATGCATCTTTATCTTGTTTGAAAACTGCATTGAGAAGTACAGTGTTACTTGAATTGTATTCCAGGATTTGCTTGTCATAAGCTTAGAGAACTTGCAATAATTTTCAAGTCTCAGCCAATGAGGAGGGAGAGTCCCCAGACAGTAGAGGCTTTCGAAAACATCGCTGGATGGGAGGGAGCTCAGGTAAAGATTGGGGGGGGGGGGGGCGCTCCACACAGAAGGTTTTTACCTTCATGCATAAAATGATGAAGGTAAAAAACCTTGAACCTTAGAAGTACTTTGTTTATCATTTACTGTATCTAAACAAAATACCCAACTGTAGGAGGTACAAGATGGAGCCCACAAGCAAACTAAACTAAGCCTTTCCCTTGTAATAATCCTAGTGGCAGAAATGCATATTTATCTTGTTTGAAAACTGCATTGAGAAGTACAGTGTTACTTGAATTGTATTCCAGGATTTGCTTGTCATAAGCTTAGAGAACTTGCAATAAATTAATACTTTACATAAAGTCTCAGAAATATTTTCATTACAGTCTTCATGTTATATAGTTTGAATACCATGTCATTGACATATTATTTATCATTGTAAAAGAACATGTTCCATACCCTTTTTTTTAATTTCCAAAAAAAAAATAAAAAAAAATGGCTTTGGAAAAAAAAATGTAAAAAAACATTTGTTTCCCACATTTTCCCTTTTTTTTCCATAGGCCTTCAAACCTCTAATCAGAAGAGACCTTTCCGTTATTCCCCAGGGAGCTCAGATTATTTAAATAGGCGAAGAAACCTGAACTCACTTTATCAAACCCGAGCTCACATATTGAATGAGAAGCATGCTGAAAAGCCTCCATCTGCTCCTGCTCATCATGAACATCCCACAGGACATCTCCAAAATCATCATCTTCCTGGATTGCTGTATCATCCTTGGAATCAGGGTCTGATATTTCAGCAGCCAACAAATCCTGCACAGAGAAGGCACATCTGCTACTTATAATGTAACACTACAGTCTAATGTTTTAGATGGAGTAGGTAAGGGTTAAAAAACCGCTATTAGGTTACATTTTTGTGTGATGTGTCCTGCTAGGAAGATTACCCTTCACTTCCTGTCTTGAAAACGCAGCAAAAAGTGAGAAAAAAAAGTCTTCCAAAACTGTGGTGAATTCATGTCATAGATGTTGTCACCAGAACATTTCTCCATTGGAAGATTTTTCTGCATATCTTGCTGTTGTGACAACTACAATTTTGGATTTCCCCTCACTGACAACGAGGACAAATAGATGTCAGTGTGTGTCCACCTCTTCCTATCCAAAACTAAAAAAGTTTTTCCTTTACATATAAAATGAATTATCAAAACATTAGATTAAAAAAAATGAAACTAGACCTTTTTTGTGCAGCCATGAAAAATGTGGCTTAGAAACTTAACCACTTCCCGTTCAGCCCGTGTATATAAATGGCCAGACAGCAGCAGTGCAGGAGCGGGTTGCCGTTCATAAACGGCGCCCGCACTTTAAGCCTGTGCACGCTCCCTGGGAGGAGTGCGCAGCAAGCACCGCAATCCGGCGCCCGCTGTGTGTCCGCTGTGAGGAACACCGATCGCTGTGCGGGACCTCTGTGTGAGGTCCCGATTCATGTGATTCCTGATTGGCCAATCAGAGATCACATGAATAGTAGTAAGCAGAGATGTCGCTTCTGACATCATTGCTTGCTACTAGTGAAATCTGTGAATGATCACAGAGGTCACATAGTACAAGGCTATTCACAACAGGCTTGTACCACGTGACAAGCTGTGACCAATCAATCACAGCTCACACAGTATTTCTCAATGGCTGCAAGAATGCAGTCAGAGAGAAGAAATGATTGCTATTCTACAGCCTTTATGGGTATAAAAGCAATCAGTGTAAAAAAAAAAAAAAAAATCTTTTTACCACAAGTAGTACAGTGTCACTATGGTGACACTGTACTGCTAGGGTGACAGTATGTTAAAAAAAAAACATAAATAATATATATAAAAATAAAAATAAAAATGTAAATGTTTTTAAAAATTATAAAATTTTTGGTTATAAACTAATTTGGGTTATTTTTTTACTAAAAATATAGCTGAATACATTTTGGCCAAGATTTATGAAGAAAGATTATTTATTTGCAAAATGTTATAAGAAAAACACTTTTAAAAAAAAATTTTTGGACTCCCACGCACGACTCCAAGACTTCTCCAGGTCCTCCCCCATCCTCTGGAACTCACTACCCCCAATCCATCAGACTGTCACCTTCCCTCCTCACTTTCAGGCGCTCCCTGAAAACCCACCTCTTCAGGGAAGCCTACCCCACCCTCACCTCACAGCCGTTCTCCTTCATTCCTCCTACCACTCCATCCCCCACAGCCACTTCCTCCTGTACTACTACCCCCTCCCTCCTAGATTTTAAGCTCGAAAGAGTAGGGCCCTCTAACCCCTCGTGTGCTGTTTGTAGTTGCTGTACTGTTTCATGTATTGTCCCCCCCTCTATTGTACAGCGCTGAGCAAACCCTTTGGTGCCATATAAACTCGATGTAATAATAATAATAATAATAATAATAATATAGCCAAAAAAATAAATACCATCAAAATAAAGTTTTATCTGTCTCAAGAAAATGCTAAAAAAAATCATATAGGTACAGTGTTGCATGACCATGAAATTTTCATTCAAAGTGTGATAGTACTGAAAGCTGAAAATTGGCCTGGACAGGAAGGGGGTGAAAGTGTCCGGACTTGAAGTGGTTAAAATGAATGTTATTAAGAGGGTACAGTGCAACAAAACACTAAAACATGAAAACACACAACCAATGAGCCTATATACCTGTTTTATGATCTTTTCTACTTGACAATAAGTCTTATAAACTCCTTCATCAGGATCGCCGCTGTGGTCAATGATCTGGAACATACACACAACATTTACAGTATAAAAACACTTTGTAGTAGAAACTCCTGTATACTGCAGCTGAGCAGGGTCTAACATCAGAAAGTTCATCCGAAGCTAGTCAAGAAATGAAAAAGTGCTGACAATACAGAAAGTGCTGGTTGGAACATATGGGTTAGTGCAGGGCTTGAAATTTCCACTCGCCTGCTTGCATTTCGCTAGTGAAAATAGCATGGGGACGAGTGTGTCCCAGTGCTGCATCGGAGGGTGGGGTGCAGTTGCAACCAGCAGCACCAACCTGCCCTGAGCACTGTGTTGAGTTGGGGGGGAGGGAGCGCAGTTTCACTCCTGTCACAGGGAGCAGCTGCTGACACTTGCTGGAGGAAGGACTAGGCTTTCTCCTCCCTCCTGCCTGCAAGGGGCAACAGACAGTCGGCACTAAGCAGTGAAGGCAGAGTGTCCTTCCTCTCTCCCCTTGTCATGTGACTTCTCACATGACCGCAGGAGGGAAAGAAGGAGAAGCTGCATTCACAAGTAGATCTGTGAGTACAAGGGGGAAGGGTGAGGTTACACTTATGGGGACACCTGATGTAAAGGGGGGCTCTGTTGGGAACACCTTATATAAAGGGGGTCAATGATGGGAACACCTTCAATAAAGGGGGACTCTGATGATAGGGACACTTTATATAAAGGGGGACTCTGATGGGGACACCTTATATAAAGGGGGACTCTGATGGGGACACCTGATGTAAAGGGGGACTCTGATGGGGACACCTGATGTAAAGGGGGACTCTGATGGGGACACCTGATGTAAAGGGGGACTCTGATGGGGACACCTGATGTAAAGGGGGACTCTGATGATAGGGACACCTGATGTAAAGGAGGAATCTGATGGGGACACTTATTTTAATTTTATATTTACATTGTTTATGTTAACCACTTGCCCTCTAGACTCTATTAAGCTATTGCTGTTATGTTTAAATTGACATACTAAAGCTATGTTATAATTGCTGTTTTGTATATTTTGGACTCTTTATTCTAAAGAAAAATGTAATTTCATAAGCTTTAAGGAGGCGTGGTTGGGGCAGGGCTGGGAGTGGGGTTGGGGGGACGAGCCTGGGGTGGGGTTGGAGGCAGACCTGGGCAAGGTTGGGTGGGGCAACTGGTGGAGAGTAAGGTTTTTGCCTGGCTAGTAGGTCTAGACTTAAAATTTTAAGCCCTGGGTTTGTGTACTTTGTTCATCATCCCTACTCTCTCTACTGTATTTTTTTTTTTTTTACTTCATAAGCTCTATAGGCTCTTCAACAGGCTTAGGCCTCTTGCACACAGAAGGTGAGAGGCTGAAAATATGCCCAAACATTTCAGGGTGTATACCCCACATCAAGGGCACAGCAGGGGCAGTGGTCATCCTGACATACAAGTAAATGGTGGTCCTACACTTGTAAATGCTGATGCACAGAAGCTTCGGCATTTACAGTCAGGTCCATAAATATTGGGACATCAACACAATTCTAACATTTTTGGCTCTATACACCACCACAATGGATTTGAAATGAAACAAACAAGATGTGCTTTCACTACAGATTGTCAGCTTTAATTTGAGGGTATTTACATCCAAATCAGGTGAACGGTGTAGGAATTACAACAGTTTGCATATGTGCCTCCCACTTGATAAGGGACCAAAAGTAATGGGACAATTGGCTTCTCAGCTGTTCCATGGCCAGGTGGGTGTTATTCCCTCATTATCCCAATTACAATGAGCAGATAAAAGGTCCAGAGTTCATTTGAAGTGTGCTATTTGCATTTGGAATCTGTTGCTGTCAACTCTCAAGATGAGATCCAAAGAGCTGTCACTATCAGTGAAGCAAGCCATCATTAGGCTGAAAAAACAAAACAAACCCATCAGAGAGATAGCAAAAACATTAGGCGTGGCCAAAACAACTGTTTGGAACATTCTTAAAAAGAAGGAACGCACCGGTGAGCTCAGCAACACCAAAAGACCTGGAAGACCACGGAAAACAACTGTGGTGGATGACTGAAGAATTCTTTCCCTGGTGAAGAAAACACCCTTCACAACAGTTGGGCAGATCAAGAACACTCTCCAGGAGGTAGGTGTATGTGTGTCAAAGTCAACAATCAAGAGAAGACTTCACCAGAGTGAATACAGAGGGTTCACCACAAGATGTAAACCATTGGTGAGCCTCAAAAACAGGAAGGCCAGATTAGAGTTTGCCAAACAACATCTAAAAAAGCCTTCACAGTTCTGGAACAACATCCTATGGACAGATGAGACCAAGATCAACTTGTACCAGAGTGATGGGAAGAGAAGAGTATGGAGAAGGAAAGGAACTGCTCATGATCCTAAGCATACCACCTCATCAGTGAATCATGGTGGTGGTAGTGTCATGGCGTGGGCATGTATGGCTGCCAATGGAACTGGTTCTCTTGTATTTATTGATGATGTGACTGCTGACAAAAGCAGCAGGATGAATTCTGAAGTGTTTTGGGCAATATTATCTGCTCATATTCAGCCAAATGCTTCACAACTCATTGGACGCCGCTTCACAGTGCAGATGGACAATGACCCAAAGCATATTGCAAAAGCAACCAAAGAGTTTTTTAAGGGAAAGAAGTGGAATGTTATGCAATGGCCAAGTCAATCACCTGACCTGAATCCGATTGAGCATGCATTTCACTTGCTGAAGACAAAACTGAAGGGAAAATGCCCCAAGAACAAGCAGGAACTGAAGACAGTTGCAGTAGAGGCCTGGCAGAGCAACACCAGGGATGAAACCCAGCGTCTGGTGATGTCTATGCGTTCCAGACTTCAGGCTGTAATTGACGGCAAAGGATTTGCAACCAAGTATTAAAAGTGAAAGTTTGATTTATGATTATTATTCTGTCCCATTACTTTTGGTCCCTTAAGAAGTGGGAGGCACATATGCAAACTGTTGTAATTCCTACACCGTTCACCTGATTTGGATGTAAATACCCTCAAATTAAAGCTGACAGTCTGCAGTTAAAGCACATCTTGTTCGTTTCATTTCAAATCCATTGTGGTGGTGTATAGAGCCAAAAATGTTAGAATTGTGTTTATGTCCCAATATTTATGGACCTGACTGTACATGAGTATGACTGCGTACAGCCATTCGCTTGTATAGCAGGTTGGATGTAACACCTGCAGCTCCCCACGCACAGGAAAATACCTGTAATTTAACACTGGCCTTATTTTAAGGCTCTTACCATCCATGTGCATGAGGCCCTATTCAGTCAGGAAATCCAATGTGCAAATGGCAATATAAGAAGACAAGCAGGTCAAAGTAAATAGATCACAAATAGTCTGTAAAGTTAAAATGTAATTTTGGATTTATTTTTAAAAAATGCCCCTATGAAGTGAATCTACATATAAAAACAGTTTGTTTTTTTTAGTTAAAGGTCCTGCACATCCATTTCTATCAGAATGTCTCCAGCAACATTCTGGTAACACTGACTGCTGAATGTTTTGTAGCACTCTGGACCTTCTGGCTTTAGAATATCCAGTTCCCCACTGCCCTGTAGCAGAACTACTGGCAAAATCATGTATATATACAGGATTTTGCATTTGTGGGTAGGGCACGTGCCCTACCCATGCTGTCATTGGCAGCTACAGCTGTCAATCACCGGGTCCCAGCCGGAGATTCCCCACCGGCCCCCGGCGATCGCTGAGGAACACTGACAGAGGTTTGTATGTAAACAATACAGATCTCCTGTCAGCACCAGCATGCTGGTTTGTATTGCTCTGCATAGAAGAGCAATACAAAGGAGCAAGCTTACACAGTAAAACACACACACAGCACAGTTAGTAAAACAGCACAAAGTTAACCCTTTGATCGCCCCAGATGTTGACCTCTTCCTGCCCAATGTCATTAGTACAGTGTCAGTGCTTTTTATTAGCACTGATCACTGTATTAGTGTCACTAGGAATGTCAGTGGCAGTTAGTCAATTCCCACTGCAGTCCCGCTATAAGTTGCTGATCGCCACCATTACTAGTATATATAAAAAAAAAAAAAAAAACGGATTTTTACACCACTATTTTTAGACGCTATAACTTTCACTTAAACCAATTAATTTACATGTATTGGGCTTTTTTTTGGGGCAAAGCCATGTAGCAGAATACATTTCGGCCTAAATTTGTGGTGAAATTTGATTTTTTAAAATTGTTTTACTTGATATGTTTTATAGCAAACAGGCAAAAATATTGAGGGTTTTTTTCAAAATTGTCGGTCCTTTTTGTTTAAAGCGCAAAAAATAAAAAACACAGAGGCGATCAAATACCACTGAAAGAAAGCTCTATTTGTGGGGAAAAGGGAGATAAATTTCATTGGGTGCAGTGTTGCATGACCTTGCAATTGTCAATTAAAGTAAAGCACCGCCGTATCGCAAAAAATGGCCTGGTCAGGAAGGGGGATAAATCCTCTGGAGTGCAAGTGAATATTAGAGTTGGTTTTGTGCGTAGCAATCCTCATATCTGTCTTGAGAGGATTCACAATGTCCTCTAGGTCGTTCATGTGACCCTCAAAAGGTGGTTCACACACCTTCTGTAATGATAGAAAAAAATCCTCCCTGACACCCTGGACCTGGCCTGTCAGACTATGCAGAGGGGCATTTAAATAGATCTTAGCACAGACTCTTATATAGATTTTTAAAGTTACATTTGGGCTTTATTGTAGCTACATGGTTTTTTTTTTTCTATTTTATCATTTTGGGTAGTATGGGGAAGAGTTATGAAGATTAGAAGAGTATGGATTCGTTGAATGATTTCTTTACTTGTATAGAAGCTAACCCCTATGGCCTAGGATTTTCTAAATCGACTGATACTCACTCAGTGAATTTTTTAGATTTTAATATTTTCTATGAGAATGGAAGATTATTTACTAAAACTCACTTCAAAATTACTGATCGTAATAGTTACATTCCGACTTCAAGTTGTCATCATCCCCTTTGGATTAGTGGTGTCCTTAAAGGGCAATTTTGTCGGAGTAGGAAAAATTGTTCAAGATTGGAAGATTACATAGCACAATCTGAGATGATTAAAGCACGTTTCATTGAGAAAGGATATGATCCTGATAAATTAGAAAAAGTTCAATTTGAAGTGAGTAAAGGGTATATAGGAGGTAAGAGAGTGAATAAAATTAAGAATAAGCAGAATGGTGGTAAAAATCTAGAGTATGCATTTATTTCAGTTTAGGGACATGGAGGCTATTATCAGAAAATATTGGCCTATTATAAGAAGGGATAGGATTTTGGGTCCTTTGGTTCCAAGTAAACCACAATTTATATATAGAAAAGCATTCAATTTGCGTAATAAACTGGTTAAAGGCATTGTCTAACCACCTAGGAAAAAATCTAAAAGGTTTTTTTCCTTGTAGGAAATGCAATATTTGCAAAACTACTGTGATAAAAACAAGAAAAATAGAAAATTTCACATCTCAGACTACATCAAAAGAATACAACATCAAGAAATGTATTACATGTACTACCTCATTTGTCACATACTTGCTGGAGTGTCCTTGTAAATTTCAGTATATAGGTCGAACGACAAGACAACTACAGATTAGACTGAGAGGACAAGTGGCTAACATTAAGAAAGGCAAAAACGGTCAGAGCTTATTCAAACATTTTTTTTTTTTTAGAGAGGCCCATAATTGTGATCCATCCCTATTACAATTCTGTGGGATTGATAAAGTAGAGGACCATTAGACATTATTAGTCCGAGAAGAAATTGATTTGATCTAATTTTCGACTTATAGAGGTATTAATCGAAGGGAAATCTCAAAAAATTTTAGACCTTCTGGGTTTATGAACTAGATACCATGAAACCCAAGGGGTTAAATGTGGAACTTGACCTTAATGGTTTATTTTCAATGTGTGATTTTTATAGGACCCATTGTTACGTTGTGTAAATTAGAAGCATTATACTAAATTATTCTTTAGTAATATAGGATTATTATATCCCTTTGTTTCTCCCCCTTGTATGCTTAGGTATATATCTACATCTATTGTACATCTGTCAACATTATATTTTGTATGAATTTATCTGCTGTCCTGGTTCAGAGTTAGCTTATCTTCATTCTGTATGACGCACAGAAAGGTTGATGCAGTTACGTGTTTATCAGATGAGTGTGGGATCTTCGTATGGAATATCGATTAACCACATTAGGGGACTATAGGTTACCCATTGGATTTAGTTATCACACTGAGATATTATATATCTACGATAATTGCATCTTGGGTGTGTTTACATCTACTCATTCTATATATTGATTAGGACGTTGGTATAGTTAGTACTTATATGAGGATGTCTAATATTCACCACTATGGGGCCATATTAGATTATGTTCTGATATATGTAAAATATATGAATTCACCACTAGAGGGCTACATAGTATGATTATTACATTTAAGTATTCTGTATATATTCATTTAGGCATCGTTTAGGATTGTGTTTTTATATTTGTAGTACTTATAATGTTATGGAAGGATGCAGTACCGGTTTAAACCTTGTTTCAGTTAACCCTTTTGAAAGATGGCGATTTCAGATCCCAGTGTGGGTGGAAGTGTATTACTTAACAGCCAGCCGCATGTCTGACGTGTACATCCTTTGACAAAGTTGTAATGACGAAATGCGTCAGTTGTGACATCAGACACTAACCAGATGATTCAGCGGCAGCCATCTTGGTTGAGATCCAAGGAAGGAGCTGTATGTTAGACACTGATATGCACTACTACATTGTAAGAGCTTTTGTTAATTAAATAAATCTGTTTACTTGATTTGCTACACTATGGTCTGCCTATTTTGGTTTGATTGTATGTGACATCGTGGGAGCGGATTATCGGCAGGAGAGAGGATCTTCTGTAGTGTAGCAGATACTTTAATTCCCTGCTTCATAAATTATCTGGTAAGGTGCATGAACTGTGAAGTGGTGGTCACCTAAGTAATTGTGCACTGATTGGCGGTCACCAAGTTTGGATAAGTGTGAGCACATTAGCACGGTTGTTGTTCGCTCTATGATAAATACTACACTATATGATATTTATTTGTTGGAGAGCAATTTACCATGGATGAGGAAGAACGATAAAAGGAGTAATCCACAAGATTCATCTCCTTTTACAAAGCAAAGAATTTTAACTGGAGGGTAAGAGTAGGAATTACGGATTGAGTGTGATGGCACATGGTGAAGTTTTGGCACTATTATAGCACTTTTATGTGAGTGTAATATATATTTTGATTTATTGCATTTAAAAAGTTAATGCACTTTGTGCGGTTTATATATATTTTTTGCATGAGTTAATATTTGATGAAAGGAGAAGGAGGAGCACATCATCATCTTGGTGTTATATGAATAGGACACTGAAATATTCATGGTGACAACCTTGGAAGAATGAAGGCCTTATAGCATGAATTTTCACGGAATGTGTTTAAGGACTTTTGGATTGTGTACCAATTTGGATGCTGGGTATTGGTTTATAAAGTATATTACATTGTTATTTCCATCTGTGGCTCATTTGGGGAGATTTTTCCTTGCCTCCTGTTCTTTTCACACCCATGCTCTCTGGAGCATGAAAAAAAGAAAAAAAAACACAAATATAAGAATATTTCACAAGCTGTCCATAGTGTGCAAAACCAGTCCCAGTTCCTACCTTGGTTTTGTTTGATTTATTTTGATCTTGTTCTATTAACTGCTGCATGCAATCTAGGCCACTGTCGCAGTCCTCTATTTTGTGATACACAATCCGAGGTTTTGCTTCAGTATTCTTCAAGAATGCCTCTTTACAGTCTTCCCACAATAAGCTGCAAACATTTTTGAAACAACATTAAATAAATTCAACTTCAGTCCATCAGGACTTGTATACTGTATACAGGCATCTGTGAAGCAAGCTTTGTTTAATGCAGCTCAAGCAATGTCTACCAACGGAATGCCTATAGTGCTGTAAAATGTATGTTGTTGGAATCAAAACGTGGAAAATACTACTCACTTTCATTTATTTGCTTAAAGCTTACTTCATTTTAACAAACATTGTCCCTGCAATCCTGTTTAAAATGTTACTAAACCCACAACAGTAAAATCAGCCTGTATATGCAGTATAGCATGCTTGTTATACTCACTGTGGAACCTAATGAGTTAATCCTCTGCATTTTGTAAAAAGGCCGTTTGATCCTGACTCCTCTGTTCCTCCTCTTGTTCAAATGCCCACGTCTTATCTCCTGATAAGACACACTGAACTGTAGCCATTCTGCACATGCTCAGTTTATTGTGTATTGCTAGAGAGGTTTTTTTTTTGTTTGGGAGAGTGCATGTGATCAGCACAGGGCCAATCAGCACTGTCCAGACAGAGGTCAGTGGTTTTGCATCCTCCTAGAGCAGAAAGAAAACTCCTACTACAAGCTTTAACCAGTGCTCTGCTGAACACCAACAGAAAAAGACAAAAGACTGCTCTAACTGCTGATGAGAAAAGGTGTTTAGCAGTTTATAATTACTAAAATAACTGCATTTCCATGTTCTGTGTACTGTGGGAGACCAGATATAGTGAATGCAGGGTCCTGGGTTACTGGGTTTAGTAACACTTTAAGCTGCGCTAAACACAGGGGAACTATGTTGGCCCAAAAATGCTCATATGCATAAAGATAAAAAAAATACGATGAGGATAATCAGTGAGACAGCCTATTATTTTATATAAAGACATTGGCTCTGAATTATTAGTTAGGTCTTTTTCACATGGGCAGACCACCTTCTGAGCTATCTGTGATGGACTGCTCTTAAGGGGGCCGCAGAACAGCTCCCTCAACAAGTTTAGGTGGTGATCCCACCTTCTGAATACGTTTCCTTTTATGTTCTCCAACCAAACAGGTCTCTGTCCTAACTAAGAGTACCTGTACTTGTTTTATGGATTTGTACAAATAAAAGAGCATTTTTGAAGTTTACTGGAAAATTAGGTCATCAAATAATTAAACCCTATATTTCAGTGACAAGTGGTTGTGCACCCAGGAGAAGTGTGGGCAAGGTGACCTACCTGGAGTGGTCTTTTCAACACTACTGTATAAGGCAAAGAGAAGTTATAACCTCAAAACTGAAAGCAACCAATTGTAGGTTAACCACTTGCCCTCCACCCTATAGCAGTACTGCTACAGGGCAGCACGACATATACGACTTATATATATGTGATTTGCATTACCAGGTAGGGGGGCGCACACCACCCTACCTGAGCCACTATTGGTGGCTGGGGATATCAATCACGAGGTCCTGGCCGTCGATTCCCGGCCAGCACTCGGCGATCGGCGGCAAAGCTCACAGAGGAGAGACCCATGTGTAAACACAGGTCTCTCTCCTGTCAGCATGGACATGCTGCTTTGTATCTCTGAACAGCAAGGAAATCTACAAAACAGCATGTCTACAAAGTAAAACAGCACACAAAGTAAAACACACACAGCACACTGTTAACCCTGTGCTCACCCCAGGTGTTAACCCCTTCCTGCCCAGTGTCATTAGTACAGTGTCAGTGCTTTTTATTAGCACTGATCACTGTATTAGTGTCACTGGGGATGTCAATGGCAGTTAGTCAGTTCCCACCCAGTGTCAGAATGCCCGCCGCAGTCCCGCTATAAGTCGCTGATCGCCGCCATTACTAGTATAACATGGTAACATAAACTTAAAAAAAAAAATTCCAGTAAATACTGCCATTTGTAGACAATATAACTTTCATGTAAACCAATTAATATACAATTATTGGGATTTATTTTAAGGAAGACATGTAGCTGAATTCATTTTGGCCTAAATTTATGAAGAAATTTGATTTTTTTTATTGGATATGTTTTTACAGCAAAAAGTCAAAAATATTGTTTTTTTTTTCAAAATTGTGGGGTTTGTTTGTTCATATAGCAAACAAAAAGAAAACAAAAAAACGCAGAGGTGATCAAATACCATCAAATAATATTGTGTTGCTTTTATGTGCATATACCAACAAATGAATAAAAATAAAAAGTGGGTGCCTGCACTAAGCCGGCTATGTGAATTGTGAAAAAGTGAAAAACGCTTAAAACGTAAAAAGAACAGAAATAAATAGGTGCTATATCAACCTTCAATATCTACATTCCATAATTATTTTCAATCTATTTTTAGCAAATGACCCCTTTTTTCGATAACCTATAGATGTTCCTACAATGTGTTTATGTCAATAATTAAGCCTCCATTTTTCCATACATTGGAGATGATATATCTGCAAATATAGCTATTTGCAATTACAGTACTAACAGTATTCAGTTTTTTATATCTTTTTTTTACATATTTTTTTTTTTATTTTGTATTTATAGTACTATTTTAATTTAATTTTAATATACATAGTCTGCAAGTTTTAGTTAGTTTTATTAGGTTTGCCCAATGATGTATTATACCAACACTGTGACAGTATGCATAGCCTCTATTATATATTATGCCGGCCATGTAGCCACCCAATAAGGCGGTATCCTTTAGGATTTGCCCAATCAAAAATAGGTCTGTCTCTATTTAACTTGCCCAGTAATGGCGGTGCATCACTTCCTGAAGACGCCACCAGGCGAAACGTACGTAAAAGCGTGATCCCGTCATATCCAGGTTCCTGTGACATCACATCCGGCCCAGCGACAGCAAGGCTTGGAACACACACCGGCCATATCTTTGGATTTACAGGCTATGCAAACTAGTGCAGGTCTACTGGGCACCTTCACATGTGAGTTGATATACATATGTTTTTTATGGAAAATTTCAATAAATATTACACTCAGATTATCTAATCCATCCATGATTTATTTGAGCGGTGTGGAGCATTGCCTTTCATGGGAAGGAGAGCATTGTGTATGGAACCTTGTCACTATTGCCATATATAAGAATCATATGAATATCACATTGGGACAATATATAAGCTGTGGTAACAATTAGGATAGATATCCCAGGAAAGCCCTTTACTAATACCCCAGGAGAGTTAACCAGGACAGATATCCCAGGAGAGTCCATTACTGAAAGTTTTTTTTTCACTATAACAAATGTGCTGCATCACCACCTTTTTTGGGGCCTATATCTCTGGCGGGTGTGAAATTCACATAATCCGTTTGCGCGTGGTGAAAGTGTCATACCTTCACTCTGGTAAGTACATTATGGGTGTGAGGTTGGTATAGCGCCTACCTATTTTTGTTCTTTTTACAATCAAATACCATCGAAAGAAAGCTCTATTTGTGGGAAAAAATGACACAAATTAAATTTTTAATTTATGTACAGCGTTGCATGACTGCGCAATTGTCAGTTAAAGTAACGCATTTTTTTTACACTGGAGCTTTTAAAGCATTTCACCCATGATCAGCAGATCGTGGGTGCAATGCCTGGATCCTGCAGACTTTCAGCACACTGTCTGCCCATACCTTCCTGCCATAAGAACAGGCAGTTATTGATGGTACTTGTAGTTCATTCATTCACAGAAATCTGTGAATAAATTATGTGGCTGTGTGGGTGGAGCCCCGCACGACCACGCTGTTTTTTTTATTTGCGACAGCGGGTGTGGAAAAAAGATCCCCCTCCCATTGTCACAGGGAGGGAGGGATCTGGGGGAGAGGAGGCGGGAGCTGGAACATGTTACATGTTCCAAAGATGAACTTAGCCTTTAACCACCTCCCGTCCGCCATATAGTAATATGACGGACGTAAGGTGGTTTTTCTCATTCTGGGAGGATGTCAGATGTCCTCCCATTCTCACCGTGCATGCGCGGCTCAGGGAGCGCGCGCGCGGCGAACGGCGGTGCGCTGTGTCCCTCGGACACAGCGGATCACCGATCATGGAAAGAGCCAAAGATGTCGGTTCGGTCATGGGATCAGCTGTGTCCAATCACAGCTGATCACATGCGAACAGGGAAATGCCGGTTATCGGCATTTCTGTCCTCTCGAGCTGTCATGCTGACAGCTCGAGAGGAGAGGAGAGCCGGTAATCGGCTTTCCGCGGAGGGGGCATGTACACTGATGATCAGGGCACTGATGATCAGTGTGCCCTGATGATCAGTGTAGCCCCAGCAGTGCCACCTGTCAGTGTCCATCAGTGCCTCGTGCCAGTGCCCATCAGTGCCACATCAATGCCACATATCAGTGCCTACCAATGCACATCAATACCACATATCAATGCCCATCTGAGCTGCCTTTCAGTGCTGCATATCAGTGCCATGTATGAGTGCTGCCTTTCAGTGCCCATCAGTGATGCCTGGCAATGCCCATCAGTGCCACCTACCAGTGCCTCCTCATCAGTCCCATCATTGCCACCTATCAGTGTCCATCAGTGCAGCCTATCAGTGCCCATCACTGCAGCCTCATTAGCGCACATCAGTGAAGGAGAAAAATCACTTATTTACAAAATTTTATAAACAAAAACTAAGAAAAAACTTTTTTTTTTCTACATTTTCAGTGTTTTTGATTTAAGAAAAAATAAAAAACCCAGAGGTGATTAAATACCACCAAAATAAAGCTCTATTTGTCACAAAAAAAATGATAAAAATTTAATATGGGTACAGTACTGCATGACCACGCAATTATTACTCAAAGTGCGACAGCGCTGAAAGCTGGAAATTGGCCTGGGCAGGAAGAGGGTATAAGTGCCCTGTAGGCTTGAGGTTAAATAGTTTCTATACATCAACGTAATAAAGACAAACCTGCTCAAGGAGGAACAAATAAAAAGTATGACAAGAGAACTCCTTTCAATTTCCCATTTCCGCACCGCAGTATAATGGTTCTCGCATTCTTCAGGGAAATGGACAACTTGAAAGAAATAGCCCAAGCTTTCACACATCCTCTGCAGCTTTGGAGAATATTCCTACAAGTACACAAAAAATGTAACAGTTGCTGATTCTAGATAACAAGAGAGTATTATGCACCTATATAGTTTGGTTCTTACGTTTAGGAAAATGTCTACTTCAGGCTGAGTATCCTTTGTGTTGATTAGGTAACATCGTACAGTATTGCTCCACGCTGCCTGAGAAAAAAGAGGGGTGACTTGTAGCAAGCTAGCTACTGCTGCATCCCAGTCATCTGCAAAATATGAGAACATAAAAACCGGTCAGTGTTTACTTACCAGGCTTGGCATTATGCCTAAAGTGTATACAAATGCAAAACTTTTTTTAGTTCTGTAGAAAGTGCAGAAAGATTCAAACTGTCAGATTTTAAATAAGAGTTCCAGGAATAGATATTTTTTCATGGTTACAATGATTCAGCTTGGACCAATGTAATTATAAGCATACTATACCTTTGGGATCCCCTGAAACCTTGAAATCATTGTAGTAGGTACTGCTACCTACATGATCTTCACTAGCTTCTGGTTCCCATGCCGAGCGGCTGCCCTGAGGCACTGTGAACACAGGACCTGGCCTGTTCAGCACAGGCACTATTCAGAGAATGCTTTGCATTTTCTCAATGAATACAAAGCATTCTGTGATTGAATTAAGTGGAGAGCTGGACCAATTTACTGTAAATATGTAAAAATATTTATACCTGGAATTTTTGTTTAATGCAGTTGGAGGCACCTTTGGAGAGGTCCCTCCATCTCCTGTCTGGTAAAAAAGGTTATTCTCAGGACAAGACAGGGGAAATCTCTGAAACAGTAACACAGACAGAAGTAATTTTTTTAAGTAAAGGGGAATGCTTGAACCCTTCTCAGCTTTTCAATCCGCATACACTACATCCCCGCTGCTATGTTCTTATCTTCCTCTTCTGGTTCCAGCATCTTTTTGATCCCTTCATTTGGTGAGTAGTGATGTAACTCTTGCGCATTCACGCTGAACTTACATTATCTTGACACCTAGCTCCATTCCTGGCAGCTTACAGAATAGCACAGGCCAATTTAGTAAGCAATTCAGTTGTGCAAAATACATTGCATGCTCCAAAGTAAAAAAATAAACAAAACAAGAAAAACTTTCACCCCTTCCAGCACAGACCAATTTTCAGCGCCATCGCACTTTGAATGTGGGGCCTGCACAAAGTACATTCTGGGGAGGAGGTCATATGGGGGTTTATTTACTAAAGCTGGAGAGTCCAAAATCAGACTCCCTTCTGCATAGAAACCAATCAGCTTCCAGATTTCATTGCCAAAGCTTCATTGAACAAGCTGAGGTTAGAAGCTGATTGGTTTCTATGCAGAAGGGAGTCTGATTTTGGACTCTCCAGCTTTAGAAAATAAACCCCATGGTGTCCACCCACAAAGAGAGAGTTCCCACCTGGCCGTCATTTGTCTATAAGCCACTGGTTAACATTTTTTCTGGGGAAAAAATGGATTTTTGTACTCACCTGTAAAATGCGTTTCTTGGGGTTCATCACAGGACACAGAGCAAGCATATTAATCCATATTCAACAGGTTATGCGCCACCTACAGGTGAATGGACACTGGCAAAAAAAAGACAGGAAGTCCTTCCCTATATAACCCCTCCCATACAGGAAATGCCTCAGTCTTGTAGCAAGCAATGCATCCATCACAAAGGGGCAGGACATCTGTGTCCCATGATGTACTCCAAGAAATGGACTTTACAGGTAAGCAAAAAAATCCAGTTTTCTTTATCGTACATCACGGGACTTAGAGCGGCCATATTAGTCCTTACTTAATGGGATGTCCCAAATCACTGCTTATGAGTACACAGCTGTCCGCAAGACACTGCAACCAGAAGATAACATCCTCAGCAATACTTACATCCACCTGATAACATCTTGTAAAGGTGTGAATCAAAGACATAGCCTTGCAATCCAGATCCACTGAGACCTGATGACCGATAGAAGGCAGCTACACTCCTGTTAGAATGAGCTGTCATCTGAAATGGTGGATTCCTTCCCTTTAAGCCAAAGGCTTGAAAGATTATCTGACAAATTCAAAAGGAAACAGTCGACTTACTGTAGTAGCCAGGCAACCCTTCATTAGTCTTTCAGGAAGGATAAAAAGCAAACTTGACTGCCGAACACGAGCAATCCATTCCAAATAAACCTTTATGCCCACACCAAATCCAGCTTGTGAAAGGCCCTGTCCCCTGGCAACTGAGGCCTGGGAAAGAAAATAGGGAACTTATGGCAGAAAAGGCGGATGAGGTTAAAGCACCATCTCATCCTGATGGAGCACCAGATACAGGTCCCTGCAAGACAGAGCTGCCAACTAAGACACCCTTGCTGTCGTAATAATAGCAAACAGAAAAGCCACCTTCCAAGTAAAAGAAAAAAAAAAACTAAAGGAAAGTCCGGAATAAGTTCAAAAGGTTGTTCCTGTAAAACATACAAAACCAAATTAGATTCCCTGGAAGCACAGATGACATCACTGGAGTAACCATCTGCACAACTCCTTGAAAAAAGGCTCACACAAATGAATGAGAAGCAATTGGCCTCTAGAAAAAGAAAATATTGCCAAGGCTGAGTTCTGCCCCTAGATGGCAAAAGGTCCACTCCAGAATGGAGAAAAGAAAGGATCCGACAATGGCATATTTTCAGGGGTGGAACCCCTAGCTTCACACCAGGGCAACCAAGTTCTATGGTAAATGTCCCTAGGACTTTTCTTCAGAATTCTGGCTTTAACAACTCTAGAGTCTAACTGAAATAGACACATTATGCTCCAGTAAGTGAACCGGTTGCCCTCTGAGTAACATATCATCCGAATAACCCACAATGGATACTCCCTGGATTCTTAACAGACCCAAGACTGAAGCCAAAATCTCAGTGAACACCTGAGTGCCAAGGACAGTGTGAAAGGCAAGGCCACAAACAAACTACTGGTCCTCTGCTGATAAGGAGGAAAAATGGGTACATGCAGATAAAACATCCTTTATGCCCAGTGATGCCAGGAAATTCCCTGGTTGAAGTGACATCACCACTGCTTTTGGGATGGTGAAGAAATTTGAGAAAAACCCGAGAAACCTTTTGGCCTCCAGAACTGGCATAATCAGGGTTTGTGAAAACGGTGCTTGAGAGCTAGAAACAGCAACATCCTCTGTTTGCAGATTCAAGGACATTTGAACGTATAAAACGTGGCAGAGGAGGCTCTCGGAACACCAACTTGTAACCCTCAGAGATTGTGCAATGGACATACTCACCTGCCACTTCCTCCTGCCATACCCCTGCAAATGCCAGCACCTGTCTCCCCACCCAAGTGAGTGGGAGCATCACTTATAGAGAGGAGGGTTTAGAATCTGGCTTTGCTGGCCCAGGTCATCTTATAAAACTGACCCAGAAGCTTCTCTCTCATGGCAGAGGCCTGCTAGCACCAAAGACTCTCCAGAGGTAGCAGATCCTGGAAAAAAAACAAACAGTCACAGTCCTCTGAAACAAATGCTTATCTTCTGTAATCTTTTGGATATACTGATCCAACTCTGTCCCAGACATTCCCCTTGAAAGTTAAAAAAAAACAAAACAAAAAAAAAAAACCTTTCAATAACTTTTTGCAGAGTAACTCTGCAGATAAATTCGTTAGAAAAAAATCCTGCACATTCGTGGAAAAAGTCCCAAGCTTGAGATCTGTTGAACTGAATCCTTCAAGGCATTCACCGTAAAACAGGGATCCCAAGGTGATCCTCACCAGGGCCACCCTCAGTATCTGCAGAATTATTCTTAACTAGCCACTTAAAACTCAGTCCTTAAAACTATGGCAGGCCTTAATAGCCGTCCTGCCGGGGAGGGCGTCCCCTCCGTCTCTGGAAAGCCTGGGACAGAGGGGAGGCACGCGCACACACACACACACCGAGCTGCTGTGGGCACCACCTGTGCTGCAGAGGGTTGAGACTCGGGCGTGCAGTCCAGGGCCAGGCATATTCCATTTCCTAGTGAATTATTTTTCTCCTCCATTGGATACAGCTGTGTGAACCTTTTAGGAGAACACCACCCTATCAGGGTGAGCCCATTCTACAAATACTACCGCCTCTAATGAGGGTACAGGATAAAGAAAGGAACCTTATCAATGGCAGCTAAGAACCCAGAGGTGAAAACTTTGGAGAGGAATTCTCAAAAAGTGGCAGATTAAAAAAATCGTTGTGAACTAATCGCTGACAGAGAATTCACCAAGGCTCTCTGAGCCTGAGAGACACTATGAATATGAACCTCCTCCGATTCAGACTCCTCCACTAGGTTATCTACCATCTGTCCCTCTTCAAGTTCCTTCTCATCTACCTCATCATCCACGTCCACCTATTCCTCTTCTATAACAGGAAAAGATACCGGAGAAGGGGATCGCCTATGCTTCTTACTGCAATGCACCATAAAGGCAATATCCCAGCTTAAGCCATCTACGCCA